CGGATCCCACAGCGAGCAAATGAGCCTGACACTGAAGCGATCAGCCGAGACTTTGTTCCTGTTTCCTTGTGCAATGGTGGAGGACTGTTTGTGGGGAGTCAGTGGGAGGGAGACAAACTAACCAACCTGTGGCTGAGAAAATAACCCAGCAATGTGACACTGTCTCTCTCTAGTAGAGTAGGGGATGGTCCCGAGTGAAGTGGCTGGTTGGTTTGATGATGTATAATGTTGTTTTTGCCAAATTGGCTTGCTTCTCCTGCATTGCAATGAGGTGCTTAACAACAAAAGCTTAGTCAGGGGTTTGAATAGAAGTGATTCCACCCTCTGGTGACTGTGTAAACTCCATGCCAACACTTTGTCTGTGTCTGTCTGTGTGTGTTTGCTCTGGTTTCCTCCCACAGTCCAAAAATGTGCAGGCTCGGTGGATTGGCCATGCTAAATTTCTCAGTGGTCAGCTATGGGTAGATTGGGTGGGATATAGGGGGATGGGTCTGGGTGGGATGCTTTGAGGACTTCATACAATTCCTACAGTGTGGAATGTATGTAATGAAGTCCTCAAAGCATCCCACCCAGACCCATCCCACTATACACCACCCAATCTACCCATAGCTGACCACTGAGCAATTTAGCATGGCCAATCCACCTAGCCTGCATATTGGAATAGAAGTGATTCCACTCTCTGGTGACTGTGCAACCTCCATGCAAACAGTCACCCAAGAGTGGAATCACTTCTATGTGCAGGCTAGGTGGATTGGCCATTCTAAATTGCTCAGTGTTCAGGGATGGGTAGATTAGGTTGGATACTTTGAGGTGTGTGGACTTCATACATCCAATCCCTACAGTGTGGTAGGAGACCCTTTGGCCCAACAAGTCCACACTAACCCTCTGAGCATCCCACTCCCCTAATCTACAAATCCCTGAACACTATAGGCAATTTAGCATAGCCACTCCACCCAGCCTGCACATTTTTGGACTGTGGGAGGAAACTCATACAGGTACGGGTGGAATGTGCAAACTCTACACACACCTGAAGGTGGAATTGAACCTGGGTCCCTGGTGCTGTGAGGCAGCAGTGCTAACCACTGAGCCACTGTGCTGCCTTAAAACATGTTGGGCTGAAGGGCCTGTTTCCACACTGTTGAATTCTCTGATCTATTATTCTATGGTCTTAACTTGATACTGGAATCTTTGTAAAACTATACACTAAGGTTTGTCAATTTGTAACTGTTTTTATGGGGTATTTTAGCTTAAATTGTGTGAATGTAGAAACTGAACAGTTGAAATCCTGTTGCTTGGGATACTGTCCTGATTTGTTTATTTTTAAAACAGAAGAATCCAATAATATTGGCTGCTATAGGCCAGTTTATCTAACATCACTTGAGAGCAAACCAAACATCTAGCTATGTGTAGAAGTTAATTTGGTATAACTTTGCAAGGGTTGTAATGTTGAGGTTTTTATCAGTTGATATAACTGCTAATAGGATATTTTAACTTGATTTGTATGACTGTAGAAACTCTAGGGTTAAATCATGCTAGTTGGATTCTTGAGTTCTTTTCAAAAGAATCTGAAAAGTACCTATTTTGGAAGTAATAACTTCTGTACACTATCAATAGTGGTGGGCAAGATGAATCACCCAGTCTGTGTAGCTTTTTATCCCCATGTTAAAGGAGGTGGAGATGAATTACAGCAAACCCTTTTATATTCAAATTTCATCCTTTTTTTTTGAGTTCAGTACCGAGCAGCTATGGACCGATGTTTTTCTCACATCAGTAGCTGTTTTGTATAACACTCTTTTTTTTTTTGGGAGCAAGCCTCATACTTGTGGAGGCTTGAATTAAAACAGTTGTCTTAATGGCCTTTAGGAAAGCATGTACAGTTTTTCACACTTAATGAAGTTGAAGTTCATGGAATGGGATTGAGGCTCAGTGTCAGATGTCCTGTATCCCTAACAGAAGCCTACAGCAAGGAAACCAATGGCTGACAGTCAAATAAAACCCTGAAGAATGAACACGAATAGCTTATTTTCTGGTTTCTAATCTGTCTAATGGGGAAATGAATTGGAACTTTGTCTCTCCTGTTTTGAGACATTCTAAACCTGTTTAGCTTGTTTGTGCCCTTCTTTTTGAAGAAGGGTCTAGGCCCAAAACGTCAGCCTTCCTGCTCCTCTGCTTGCCTTGCCTGCTGTGTTTCTCCAACTCAACACGGTTAGCTCTGACTCCAGCATTGGCAGTTCTTACTATCTCTTAGCAAATCTGCAGCCTTGTGTCTGACTAAACACTGCACAAATGAAACAAACCCATGATATTTTGAACTTACTGCTGGACAGCCAGATACCATCATTCTGTTGTTTCAGTAACACGAAACCAGCCATAATGATCAGGAGCATGCAAATGTCACTGATTAACGTGAGGTATCCTTAGAAGGGATAGGGAGAGCCTATATAAACTTACTGGCATAGTTCTGAAGTAGGAACAAGCCAGTAGCAATATGTTATCATCTTTTGAAGGTGGCAGGGCATTTGAAACAATGGTTGGCCAAGTAAATTGCCTTTTTTTTGAGGCATCAAGTACCAGTTCATTGGTTGTTTCTCTCTGGTTCAAGCATGGTGCTATTAATGGTAAGGTGATGGGTCCAATCTCCATACTGAACAAGCCTGCATGTTTTAGAAGGAAACCCACTCAATGATGGGCAATTTAGCATGGCCAATCCTCCTAACTTGCCCATGTCCAGAGATGTGTAAGTTAGGTGGGTTAAACATAGGAAATGTAGGGTTACAGGGACAGGATAGGGGCATGAGTCTGGGTGGGATGCTCTTCAGAGAGTTGGTGTGGACTTGTTGGGCCGAATGGCCTGTTTCCACACTGTAGGTATTCTGGGAGAAATGGGGTCTTGCTTGATGTGGATGTTGTTGGCTGTGGTGACTCTCTAAAATGAGCCCCTGTTGTGTTTTTTTATTGTTGCAATGTTAACTAGGAAATGCTATAAAAGGATTGAGACTTGATTGGATGCAAAGCATTGATAGGTCTGTCTGAAGTAGACAAGAACTTGGGGGCAGGGAAAAGACTTTCATCAAGAAGTTAGAGATAGCTTTTTGCTTTACACCATTGAAGTGGTAATGACCGAGGGTGATTGAATGCATAAGTTTACCAATGTTTGGTGCTTGAAGGGAATGAACTTGCAAGGCTGATTTTTTTTTCGAGCTGGGCAGTGAGACTGACTTGTTCCATGTGGGCTGGGTCGAGTGGCCTCCTGTTAGACCAGACCAGACACTGTCTAAATATTTTCGGGTAGCCTAGACCCTAACTTTAAAGGTAGATGTTGAGTTTGTGCATCATATCTAGAACAAACTACTTTAACATTAAGCAAAGCACAAGTTATTTAACACCATAGTCAAAATACAAACAAGAGGAATTCAGAATAATTATTGGAAAACTTAACTGAATAGATATAGTACCGATTACGAACTAACTGTTCCAATGTAATGGCCAAAAAGGTAAATTCAGATTGTTACATGCTGTTGTTTCCTCCTGGACTGGAAAGCATTGAGATTTCAGGGAAAAGTCAGTTAGGAATCATTTACTGAAACTCCAACTCTTCTAGAACCCAAACAACTTTTGGGACTGCTGCAGCTTAAACTAGAAAGCTTGATCTGAGAACTGGCCATACCCTTTCCTTTGTTACAACTGTTTCCAAAAATATCCTAAAAGCCTCCTCTGACTTACGCCATCTCTTGTAGCAACTTTGGAACCTCTGCCTTACCACCCCTCTTCCCAAAAAAAACCCAGGACAAAATAACCTTTTTAAAGTGGCAGCACTGTCACACTCCTGTGGTAAGGAGTTTTTGACTATGAACTCAACTGAACAGTTGAAATGAAGATGGCTTGTAGAATTGGTTTTTCAGTTTTTTTGACTTTTTGTCAGATCTTGTTTATACAACATGAAATGTTGTATAGTGTTGCCACTCTACCATATCAAAAGACAAAAATCCCCACTTAAAGGCAGAAACTGTTCAACTTTATAGTCCTTCAATGCTCTCTTTTAATGGCTCAACTTTCCTGAAGATTTCTCTTGTCACATATATGGTGCATTTAACATATCCCAGCTAGGTGGCCATTCAGGCCTGTGAGCCCACTAGTGATCCTCAACACAATTTCTGCTTTCTTTCCTTACCCCATGATGAACATTTCCTTCTTCCCCCACCCCACCACCACCACCACCACCACCACCAGCCTAAGCTGCATGTGCATCTGCCCCAGGGTTAGGAGCTGTGATGGACAGGCTGACACTGTTCACTGTCAGTTCCAGACATTGCTACTGCATGTGGACCTTGTGCCCATTCAAGCACATCCTGCCCCTGATAAACCTATGACTTTATACCCCCTCAAATATGTTTGCTCTAGCTTTGGCTTTGACTTTTAGAATTCCTGTCATTCCATTGTTTAGAAGCTTCAAATGCTTCCCCTCTTAGGATTGCTAAGAAGTATTCCTGGGGCAAATATACCAAATGCTAGTAGAACACCCACCAGCCTGTCTAGGTAGTCACACGGCTTCTAGAGTATCTCAAAGGGTGTTGCATTTGCTTTCAAATGTTCATCTGCCTTTATTCTTATCTCGCTATAAACAAAGACAAGTCAGACCTGACTTCAAGTAGCGGGAGTTAGTTATGGATGTTATTTGAGTCTGAGTCTTGATCCTTCTGTCAATGACTGGAGGCCACAACCACCAATGGGGAAACTGAACCGTTTTTCTGTTTGCAGCATGTACAGCAGATGGCCAGTTCATTCTTGCGATCGCCAGGAACCTGACTCGTCCTGCCCTCAACCTGTCATCTCTGCACGTGAAAGATGGACAAGAAGCTGAGTGCAGGCCTAAGCTCATCAGAGGAACTTGTAGCCTTCTGCTTCCCAATTAGCTCTTGGGGCTCAACCCAGTGGGTGAGTGTTGGGGGGGTCCAGCATTCTGTCCCTTTTGAATGGGCCAGCTCCCTATTAAACAGTGCCCTCCATTGCAGGAGGAGACTGGAAGCTTTGTGTATGAGTGATTCAGACGGGGCCACACGGCTCAATAACCAGGGACAGCACCTTCAGGTGAGAGGGCAGTGGGGTTTGTTGGTATGTAGAGGGAAGTGTTACTGACTGAAACTCCACCACCTCTGTCTCTCTTGACAGCCTGCACATTCCAGTGCAAGTACAAGGGGGAGCATGAAGCTGGCTTACAAATCAATGTCTCAGTTTACACACTCCCTCCACCATTAGCTGCTTCTGAAGATGGGATTCTGAGGCTGGAACTGCAAATAGCAAAAGGTAGTGCTGCTCTGGTAATAGAGTGCTAGGAACGTATTCCTTCAGGGAGTGACTGGTTTGTTTGCCTTGTTTCTGTTAGATGGCAACTACAGGCTGTGGTACAAGGACAGTGACTACCCCATTGAGAGAATCCTTCAGGAGTCGGTGTTTGTTGAGGTTCGTGTGAAGGATCGCACTGACCCAGTGATTGTCCTGAGATTGCATGACTGCTGGGCAACTCCTGTGCCAGCCCCTGACCATGAGGTGCAGTGGAGTCTCCTGGTGGATGGGTAAGGACTCTGAATGGAAAGCCCCACCTTGAATGGAGTGTGGCTTTAATTCTATATACTGACAGAATAATGTCACAGTAAGATCAGTGTACATAACATATGTACATGAGCAAGTGTTGGCACTTTGAGCTGTGTCACCTCTTTCAATCATGGTTGATTTATCACTTCAACTTGGTATTCTAGCCACCTTCACAACCTTCCTCAAGGCAGAGGTGGATTTCTTCTCTTCTCGGAAGAGAATTGTTAGGTTGACTACTGAACCTCCTGTCTCGTGTACAAACTCCTGACTAACTTCCTCTTGGACTCTCAAAGCAAATTCCTTCAGTATTCACTTCAAAGTCCTCACGATTCTTGATCAAATCAATCCTCACTGCAATGACTGAATGCCCCACCTTTTCAACAATGTATACCTGATGGTCAGCTGACCAAATTGATCTAGCCTCATGTTGCCCCTACACCGCAGGCTGTTTGGTGCAGCTGACAATTTGTTAAATAGTTTCTGGAAATCCTTGTACACAACCACAGGCTGTCCTTCATCAATGCTGATTAATGTTTCCGAGAATCCCAAATAACATTCCTCAATTGTGTGGAAAGCAGTTAAGGATCTACCCTAACTTTTCAGTTCAGTCTGTCAGCTCGTTGTCCTGCCAATTCTTGCTTTTGCAATTGGTTAGATGTGAAATGTACTGCAATTGGTTTTACATCTGTCCAAAAATTCCAGACAATCAACCTAAAAGACCAGGTTCACTATTACCTGGGGACCATCAGCTTTTCTTGGTATCCATCTGCCCAGCAATTGGGTTTCCTTCTCCCCATTCTCCCACCAACCCACTCTACTCCCAACCAGAGCCTCCTGATTTTTGCCACTTATTTCTGGTTCTATTTAGAAACTTTGTTCAACTGACCAGCTCCTGTTTCAGGTGCCCCTATGAGGGTGATGACTACCTGACTGTCCTACACCCAGTAGATGCCTCTTCTGGCCTGCAGTTCCCAACCCATCACAAGCGGTTTGAAGTGAAGACCTTTGTTTTCTTGGATGGAGTGTCTGAGCAGCCCATCTCTGGACAGGTAACTAAACTGATGGAATTGAGACCAACCTCATGAAATCTTCTTGCTGAGTCTCTGTACAACATCCTGGGTACCAGCTACAAAATGCTCACTCCAGTGTAAATTCTTTCCTAGGTTTACCTGCACTGCAGTGCTGAGGTTTGCTCTCCCTCTGCTCAGAATGACTGTACAACCAGATGTGGTTCAAGTGAGTTCCTTAATGCTTTCTATTGAGCGGAGATCCACCCCTCTGTCCCTGATCTTAAATGTCCCCTTCATCCAGTTAGCAAGGATACAGCATCCTGGCTATCGTCTCAACATGGATTCTAACTATCTATGTAATGTCCCCCTTTCCCCCAAATAGGGTCACGCAGGAGTGTTCACCTCCATGACGGGACCTTGGTAAGTGCTCCTGGTCCTGTTGTGTTCCTGTTGCAGGAGAACAGCCAGTCTAAGCAGCTGCTGAATGAGAATGGTAAGTGATGTTTCTCCTGTAGTTCATTGAGCACCTTTTCCAATATCTCAACACCTTCCATCTCCCAATAGGTGCTGCTGGATCTCCTGTTGTGGTTGGAGTAGCCATTGGGTTTCTGGTGTTCCTGTTGGTGGTGATGGCTGCAGTGTACAGAATGAAGAACCCAGCCCTGTCTGTGCCCAGTGTCGTGAGACTGAACTGTAGACCTTGAATACAAATAAACCAGACAGAAACCTGCCCCATGTGTGTCTAAATTAATCTAGTTAAATCAATAGGAAGAAACGAAGTAGGGTCAGATGGTGTAGAATCGAGGAACCGCAATGCTAACAACTCCATAGTTGGAGTTGTGTACAGGTCTCCAGACAGTAGTCAGGAGCTGGGGTGCAAGATGCACCAGGAGATTAAAAAACAGGTGTGTAAGAAAGGCAAAGTCACAGTGATCACGGGGGATTTCAATTTGCAGGTGGACTGGTAAAATCATGTTGGTAGTGGATTGCAAGAAAAGGAGTTTGTGGAATGTCTACGAGATGGCTTTTTGGAGCAGCTCGTGGTGGAGCCCACAAGGGAACAGGCAATACTGCATTTAGTGCTGTGCAATGAGGCAGACTTGATAAGGGAGCTTAAGGTGAAGGAACCCTTAGGAGGTAGTGATCATAATATGATAGAATTGACTCTGCAATTTGGGAGAGAGAAGATAGAATCAGAGGTAACGGTATTACAGCTGAATAAAGGTGACTACAGGGGGATGAGGGAGGAACTGGGCAGAATTGACTGGAAGAGGAGCCTAGCGGGAAAGACAGTGAAACAGCAATAGCAGGAGTTTCTGGGAGTAATTCAGAAGACACAGCAAAAATTCATCCCGAGGAAAAAGAAGCATGGTGTCAGGAGGATGAGGTAACGATGGCTGACTAAGGAAATCGGGGATAGCATAAAACCAAAACAGAGCATATAATGTGGCCAAGGGCAGTGGGAAACCAGAGGACTAGGAAGCTTACAAAGACCAACAGAGCAACAAAAAAACATGAGGGAGCAGATTAAATGAGGGTAAGCTAGTCAGTAATATAAATGAAGAATAAGTTTCTTTAGATATATAAAGGGCAAAAGTGGATATTCTACCACTGGAAAATGATGCTGGCGAGATGGTAGTGGGGAACAAGGAAATGGCTGAGGAACTGAATAATTACTTTGCATCAGTCTTCACAGTGGAAGACACGTAATGTCCCAAAAAATTCAAGAGTCGGGGGCAGAGCTGAGTATGGTGGCCATCAACAAGGAAAAGGTGCTAGTAAAACTGACCTGAAGGTGGATAAATCACTTGGACCAGATGGACTACACCCCAGATAGCTAAAGGAGAGAGCTGGAAGCATTGGTGGTGATCTGTCAGGAATTGCTAGAGTCAGGGAGGGTCCCACAGGACTGGAAATCGCTAATGTAACACCCCTGTCTTAAAAAGGAGCAAGGCAAAAGATGGAAAATTACAGGCCGATTAGCCTAACCTCGGTCATGGGCAAGATTTTGGAGTCCATTGTGAAGGTTGAGATTTCTGAATATTTGGAAATGTATAGTTAAAATAGGGCAAAGTCAGCATGATTTCATCAAGCGGAGGTTATGCCTGACAAATCTGTTAGAATTCTTTTGAAGTAATGAGCAGGGTAGACCAAGGAGAGCCAATGGATGTTATCTACCTGGACTTCAAAGAAAGCCTCCGACAAGGTGCTGCACAGGAGGCTGCTGAATAAGATGAGGGCCCATGGTGTTAGAGGCAAGATGCTAGCTTGGATAGTAGATTGGCTATCCGCCAGAGAGTGGGGAGAGCTATTCCCCACCTGAGTTCTTGTATTCCTTTCTTAGCCTGTTCTAACTCGCTATCCAACTTGTGAGTGAATGTTTTTGACTACATTCCTCCCTGGACCCTTGATCAATAACTGTAAATGGGTGAGACCCACACTTGGGCAGAGGCTACAAGCCCCATTATGCCTCCTGTCAACTGATAACATGGCCATACCAACATTGCATTGAGCAGCTCAAAAAATTAAGGGCAAGGTTAAATTGTTGGTTATAAAGGCTAATGTACAATGTTCATTTTGAGGTTACATCAATGTTTTTTTTTACCTAAAGCTGTAATTATCTAACTTACAGTTCTAAGTAAGAAATTGTTTAAAATAGCAAAATGCTAATTGAGTAACTCCTTAAATAATTTGAGTGAATGTGATGCAGGAATGCAGAATTGGAGGTTGTCCTGTTTCCAATAGCTTCTCCTTTTTAACAGGTCCCTATTGACATGAGCAAACTTGAACCGTTACAGATTTTTAAAAGCTTCTGCTATAACTGGAAATAACGTTGTTTTGATGGGGTGGGGGAAGAAAAATACAAATCGCATTAAAAGAGGTTTTATTTTGTAGTGCAGTATTAAATTGAAACATTTCATCTTACAATCACCAGGACAGAATTGCCAAATTTCAAAGGGACCACTAATTTTCAGTGGATTGAATTTGCATTTTCAGTTCTATAAACTAGCTGACAAAGATGTTAGCTTCATATGCCAGTGACAGCTGTATTTCACTGGTTGTATTCTTACCTCTGAATCACCTGGTTATGGGTTCAAACCCCACCCCTTGAGATTTAAGCATATAATACAGTGCATTAACTGACTGTACAAGCCTTAGTTGCCATCTTCGATGTAAACAGTCCCAACTATTTTAAAGGATACTTGTTGAGTGCCAGAGTTTAATTTTTGATAAATGTGAGGTACTACCTTTTTTGATAACAACACCTTTTTTAATAGTAAGGTCCTGGGGCATGTTGCCAAGACACTGCGCAGTGCAGATCCAAGGAACTATGAAAGTGGAATCACAGGTAGACAGGATAGGAAAGAAGACATTTGGTATGCTTGCCTTTAACAGTGAGTGCATTGAGCACAAGATTTGGGAGGTCACTAGCAGCTGTAAAAGACATTGCAAAGGTGGCTTAGTCAATACTCTGCTTAGTTCTGGTCTCCCTATGATAGGAAAGATGTTGTGAAACTTGAAAGTGTTCAAAGATTTACAAGGATGTTTTTGGGGTTGATTTTGGGGTTGAGCTAAAGGCAAAAGCTGAATAGGCTGGGGCTATTTTCCCTGGACCATCAGAGGCAAAGGGGTGACCTTTAGGAGGTTGTTAAAATCATGAGCATGGATAGGGTGAACAACCAAGGTCTTTTCCCCAATGGTATGGGAGCCCAGACATAGTGTAGGGGAAAAACTTTTTTAAAAAGGGAAGCTTTTTCAGAGGGAGGTGTGTTCGTTCATGTGTGATGAGCTGCCAGTGGATGCTAGAGGTCAGTGAAAGACCTCTTGGATTGAGTATATAAGTAGGAAGGGTTTGGCTGGATATGGGCCAAATGTTGGAAATGAGACGAGATTAGTTCAGGATACTTTGGCCAGCATAGGCAAGTTGGACCAAAGCGTCTGTTTCTGTGCTGTAGAACTGCGACTCAGTGACTACAAGGAGAGGCAATGGCATAGTGGCATTATTGTTGGACTGTTAATCCAGACACCCAGATAACCTTCTGGGGACCCCGGTTCAAATACTGCCACAAGCAGATGGTGGGGTTTGAATTTAATAAATATCTGGAATTAAGATTCTAAGGATGACCCTGAATCCATTGTTGAGGGAAAATCACTGGTTTGCTAATGTCCTTCAGGGAATGAAACTGCCATCCTTACCTGGTCTCACCTACAGGTGACTCCAGACTCACAGCAACGTGGTTGACTCTTAACTGTCCTCGAAGCCATTAGGGATGGACAATAAACACTGCCTAGCTGGTGACACCCTTGTGCTGTGAATGAATTTTTTGCTTTTTTAAAAAAAAAAAAGGATTTCTCAAAACTGTTTTAGTCTACTTATTCCTTCAATGATAAAACAGAAGGGGTTAAGAATGACTTTAGTCCCAATTTGAAAAGCACACTTATCTAAAGACAAAAATGAATTAGCTGATCTATGATGTGAAATCACAGACCAAGAACTCAAGCTTGTGTTCAGCCAGAAGCATGCTTAACTCCAATTTAGAGGGACAGGGTGAGATAGGGAAAGCTGACTGAGACTCTGTCTCAGCAATGTCTTGAGTCAAGATCAAAAGATGATGTACTTCCATCTGGTCAGGTGCTGTTGCTGGCATGATGGTTGGGGGAGAGAGTAATTAAGGATTGTGAAGAATCTGATCTAAGTCCTCCTATCAGTCTCTAATGTATGCCAAATCATTGTCATATGTAAACAGTTGCAGAGATGCTATAAATGATTGTGTTGCTAACTACAATACTCTCTTGTAGTGAGAATGGCCACCTTCTGATCTAACTACACTAGGCCACTTGGGACCTACATAAATGAATAATCAGAAGGTAGTGGCAACAGTGAAGCTGATGACAGACCTTCTATAGCAATAGAGACACAGCCATTTTTAAAGCAGGAACTCTGAAGGAATGTGAGGTATTATAATTGCTCAGACAGGTTGATTGTCAGTCATTAGCGATTGTCATCAAATGAGCACTTGCACTAAGTGACTGAATATCATTGCAGGAGGTGCTGTGGGAAATCAGTGTACAAATGGGGAAATCTCATTCAGATCACAAGGAGGCTATGGGCTACGGGCTACGGGCCACTGACTGTTTCAGCTTAAAATGGCTTCAGTCACCAGTTAACAACTATTGATTTGCAATTCAAGCTGATGTTTTTTAAAACATCAATGATTTTCTCCACCACTCCGACATGAACATCAACATCAAGAATTAACATCCACTAAACTTAAAACCACAACACAAGGGAAACATTAATTTCCTAGACAGTTTTTATAATTGCTGAGAGAATGCTGCTTTCCCACTTCCTATTACTTTTTTGGTAAAGGAATGATACCTGGGAGTGCACCAACAGCATGCTACTTTTCTGTTCAACTCAAAACCGGCTGCACAGCGTGGTCCCAAAACAGCCGGTTATTGTAAGATGAAGCCTTGCCGCAGCTCATCTTGGTGTATGATCCATCCCATAGATTTACTGCCACCATCCTCTTTCCTGGGAGGGATTGATTCTGTGCTAAAGGAAAAACCTCCTGGAGTCTAATGAGAAGACAGTATCATCTTAAACACAATGTCTTTCCCTCTCTACCTGCTGCAGACCCAGTCTAACCGTGACATTCTTTAGGACTCGATCAGTCGTGCTGCTGCCAAGCCACTCTTGGTGGGGAACATTGATATTCCTCACCCAGAG